TTAGTGAGAACTATTGGTGATAGGTGGATGGTTGGACTGGACGATCTTGTAGGTCTTTTCCAACCTTGGTGATTCTATGGTTCTGTGATCTATAGTAAAGCATTTCTTTCTTATATCTCTGGTTTAACCCAGCTGGTGGCTAAGCACCACACAGTCATTCACTCATTCCCCCATTCCCAGTGGGATAGGGGAGAGAACTGAAAAAAACGAAGTAGAACTTGTGAATTGAGATAAAATTATTTAGTAAAATAGAGAAAAGGAAAAGGATAACTATTCTGAGAAATATATATATATATAAAAAAATCAAATGATGTACAAGCAATTGCTCACTACCCACCAATCGATGTTTCCCCCAAGCAGTGGAAGACATTGACATGAGCTCCTACCTCCCTTCAAAACTCCTTCCACTTTATGTCATATTGTATGGAATATCCCTTTGGCCAGTTTATGTCAGCTGTCCTAATTCTGTTCTTTCCCATCTCCTTGGGCCCTTCACTGAGAATGGCCTTGGCTCTGTACAACACTGCTTAGCAGCAACTATAAACATTGGTGTGTTATTAACATTATTTTTCTCCTAGAACCAAAACATAGCATCATACCAGACACTCTGAAGAAAGCAATTACATCCCAATTGAAATTAAGACGCATCCCTTTCCTCTTGAATATTACCTCTTATCTTGGTGTCATTCACAAACTTGCTGAGTCCCAGTGTTTATGTCATTGACAAAGATGTTAAATAATACCGGTCCCAATAAAGATTCCTGAGGGACACCACTCATCAGTGGTTTCCACCTGGACTTCAAGCTGTTGACTACAACTCTTCCTTATCTCACAAGTGGTCCATCTGTGAAATCCATGTCTCTCCACAGTGTGGGACTGCATCAAATGCTTTGCACAAGTCTGTGTAGATGACATCAGTTGCTCTTCTCTTGACCACTGATGCTGTCACTCCTTCATAGAACACCACTAGATTGGTCATTCATGATTTACCCTCACTGTGTTGAACGTCTCAAATCACCTCCTTGTCTTCCATATCCCTTAACATAGTTTCCAGGAAGGAAGATCTGTTCCTTGATCCTCTCAGACAAGAAGATGTGGCTGAGTGGTCGATAGTTCCCCAGATCCTCTTTTGTACCCTTTTTAAAAATGAGTGTGATGTTTCCCAGTTACAGGTGACTTTGATACACTGCCATGACTTTTTAAATATGATGAAGAGTGGTTTGGTAACTACATCAGCCAGTTTCCTCAGGACCCTGGGATGCATCTCATCAGGCCCTGTAGACTTATTTATATTGTTGAGGTTCTTCAGGTAGTCCCAAACCCAATCTTCACTCACAGTGGGAGAGATTTCGCTCCCCAGTCTGTCTTGTGGTTCAGGGACTTCAGGGATGTGGGAAGAGCGACTGCCAGTGAAGACTAAGGCAAAAATATTATTGACTATCTCAGCCTTCTCCATGTCTGTAGTCACCAATTCTGCCATCTAATTTATCAGAGGAGTGTATTCTCTTTAGTCTTCCTTTTCTGACTAATGTACCTGTACAATCCCTTCTATTTATTTGCATCTCTTGCCAAGTTCAGCTCCAACTGTTCCTTGGCTTTCTTGATCCCATCCCTACACATCTGGGCAGCATCCTTATACTCTTCCCAGGCCACATGTTCCTGCTTCCACCTCCTGTGCATTTCCTTCTTACACCTCAGTTAGACCAGTAAGTCCTTACTCAATCATGCTGGTTTCCTTCCCTTCCTGCCTGATTTCTTACATGTGAGAATTGAGAGCTCTTGCACTCTCAGAAAGAGTTGCCAGCTCTGATCAGTTATACACATTGATAAGATGTCCCCCTTGAGCCTTCTATTTTCCATGCTGAAAAGTCTCAGGTCTTTTTACCTCTCTTCACACATACATAGATCACTCCAAAAGTAAAGCCTCCTATTTATTTCCATGGAAACTGCAACAGATACAAAGAGCACAATAACACTATTTGATAGACCAAATTCTTGGCTACAAACCACTATTTTTCAACAGTCACCACCATGCTACGCATTTTTGCCAACAATGAACTAGAGCCTGCATGCTGCACTCATAAAAATCTGCATGGCTATGCAGAACATGGCTTGTCTTTCACATCATTGAGACCACCATCTCACGATGCTAACATCCGCTGTTTGGTCTCCATCAACATTCAGCAAATATCAATGAATGTCAATGAGTGCAATTTTTTTTTTCTGCATGTAGGAATTCAATTCCACACCTTTGCTTCATACGCACTTCCATGTCAGACATCATTTTGTCAGATTGCCCCTTTGCTGCCATCTGTTGCATGACAACAAAATGTAATGGAATACTGTTGGGAAGGTTCAACCTCTACTACCATACCACCAACATCCACCTGTGACATTGTGGGCCAACATAATAAAATAGGAGGCATTACTTTTGGAACAGCCTTCATACACGTATGTAGGTATTTTTAAATGTAATTGTTTCTAACCACCATTACCTACTTTAATGCCATTACTTTCTTTAGTGCATCTAACTTTAATTTGCTGTATGCACAGAGGTATTTATGGAAGAAATGAAGAATGTTATCTTTTTTAGCATAAAGTGCTATATTTGAGTTCAGCAAGATGAAATTAGCTCAATTGGAATATTATTGATATACATTTAAAAATATTAATTGAGCAAATCAGATTGCCATTTGAAATCCAGACAGTGATTTTTAGAAGGTCTTTTAAGTCTTTTTAAATTGTTAAGTAATTCTATTTTGTAAGCATTTTGTTTCATATTTTGGTATAGGAGGGTTGTGTTGGGCAAGATATCTCATTTTTAACTTTCAATAATTGTTGAGGAATGTTTTAGCATTTACAGATATAATCTGTAAATATTTATTCAGCTTTGTGATTTTCAAGAATAATTTGTCGATAAAGAAATTGAAAAAAATGACAAATAAGCTGTTTTTTAGTGAGTTAAGATAGGTCACGAGTCTGAAAAGCACTAGAGTTGGTGCAAGAAGGGAGGATGTTTGTGTGTCCTGGAGCGCAAGACTTATTGTTCAGCTCAATTAAATGTGAAGTGACTGCCTTAATTTGTTTCAGTCTCACAAGGCCTTCCCATTTAGAAGCATAAAATGTGTAATAAAATGACTTTCCTTTGAGTCACACAACTTTGTGTGGAATATAATCTGTAGTAAATCACTTACTATTAACATTTATTTTGGGAAATGCTTAGCATGGACAGAATTTCTTGGTCTTGAACTTTGGAAGAAAGGAATTCATGCCAGACTTTATTTATTTATAATTGTTAACATTTCTCTATTTCGAGCAAAGGTCAAAAGGTACACACAAAAAAAGCCTGCTCTGGTAAAATATTTTTTATGTCATACAGCATTTGAAAAAGCTTTCTGAAATAATTATTTCCTAGAAATGTCTGAAACAAGGCTGCAATATTTCTGTCTTTCTGCAACACAACTGTCCTCTGGAATATGCATTGAAGGTGCATATTGGGTGGAGAATAAAACGACCAACTGAAATGAGAATTTAAGTGTTTTCTTAGTCAATAACTATTTTGACTTGAAGATAACATTTTAGAGAATTATTGCACAGGATATTGCTTATCGGACATTCCCCATAGGTTGACTCTTATTGGTTTAAAAAGCTCTGAATCTCTTATGTACAGTTACTCTAGATGACTCTTAATCTTTCTTACCATATGGGCTTTGAGACATGGGATACTTATAATGGATAGCCAATTGAGCTTTTTCAAATCAGTATGATTTGTTCATTAATTTATTGGAAGGCTTTAGAAAGCAAAGGAATTAATATATTAGTATTCAGGACATATGTTGTTGAATTATATGTATATGTATTTAATCAAATTTCACTGTATAAATTTCTCTCTCTTCTGGCAGAACTTTTATCTCAGTTATCAGGAGTGAGACGTTCTGCAGGGCAGCTCAACTCTTCTGGCCCTTCTGCTTCTCAGTTACAGCAGTTGCAGATGCAACTGCAGTTGGAGCGACAGCATGCGCAAGCAGCAAGACAACAACTGGAGACTGCACGCAATGCAACTAGACGCACTAACACAAGCAGCATCCCCACCACTCTTACACAATCTATAGTAGCAACCAATTCATCTAATACAGAAAACAATCAGCAGACTACGCACAATTCCCAGTTTCTTCTTACAAGGTAACTTGTTCTGTGGGTTTAACTTTTCTGCCATTTCTGTTTTCCTTGGCCCTGTTAGAGACAGAACTCAGTGAAACTACTATGTGTTTAGTTAGGCATGTGATTTAGTGTATCAAAATAGGCTCCTTAACTGCAGATAAATATATTCCAGGATTAATGGACTAATCAGTGAATTGTACAGAATACGCTCACGTTAGAGGTCAATAGTTGTTGCAGAATATCTGTAATTCATAACTCTATATAAAAAAAAAATATTTCACACTTCAGTGCAGCACCATTAAAAGCAATAAACTTAATCCACTGAATTGTTCTTAAACCTGATTACACTGTACTTAGAGATGTGGTAGTAGCTTGTATTTTGTTACAATTTTCAAAATATTAGAATAACATTAAATAGCACATCTTGTTGTGTACTGTAATCATAAGAATGTGATGTTTGGCTTTTTTTTCAGTTTTTGTATTAGTTAGGTGTTTATGTACAGACATAATACAGTCAGAAAAATTAGATCCACACCATTAGGAGTAAAGCAAAACCAAGGAAATATTATCTGAGTAGTAGTTTGTAGCTGGCCTGAAGGGAATTCTTCTGTTTTCAGAAAACCAACTCCCAAGAGTTGGCTGCAGAAATAGCCCATGGAGTCTCAGTGTTCGTGAAAGTGAGAGGCAGTCTCACAGGCATGCTGCATTTCTTCTACGTGTCTAGGAATGTATTTAAAGCTTTAGATTGGAAAATGGATTAGTTGTTTTCTGCAGACCTTGGAAATGAGGTTAGTCTTATAACTTGAGCTATAGCTTGATCAGCTGCTTATAGTTCCAGCCATGGATCTACTTCTGACAGATACCTAATGAAGTTTATAGTTTAGATACTATGCTTTTTTGCATTTGTAACATCTCCTTTTCAAACCTGCTGTATGTCTGCTCCTTGGCAATTAATAAATGTTACTTGCTATTTCTCAATTTCAAGAGAAACATAAGGAATATTACTTTTTCAATTGGATGTTGGGAAAGAGCACAGATATTTAAACAGTTGCTGTGTCTATATACATAGTTTGGGGCAAATTATTGCTATCATGCTGTTCTTTATATAAACTCATAATAATATCTCAAAAACTTTTTGAAAATAATAACTTTAATGAAAGTATCTGTAAATTTCAGTACTGATCTTGTCAGCTAGGATAAAACTGAAGCAAGTGATTTCCTTGCTTCTATTAGGTGATGGTGCATGCATGTACTGTGCTTTGGTAATCTCTGGGCATTGTGTGAAATGATGCATTTTATGTCAGTTTTTAATTTAGAAGTTGTACTGGGGACAAAATGAGCACTTCAGGGATGACTAGAGAATTTTAACACTCTTTAAAACAAAATCACTCTGAAGGGTAAGAAACTTTGGAAATAGCTACTTTTTTCCTTCAGCCTTAGAATCCACTTCTATGATGCTTTTTTGTAGTAACTAGGAGCAAGTTTTTTAAATGTCTGTATTCTTATTGCATCAGGAGTTTCAGGCATTGTCAGATATGTACATGTCAAAAGAAGCGCAGCAGTACTCTAGGCTGGTTCCAAAAAGAATGATTTTCAGATGTTATTCAACATTCATCAGTCCAGCTGCTAGACTTAGTAATAACAAAATGGGCTTTCACTAACTGCAGGTGTTCTTTCTTTCTATGCCACTATGCAGGTTGAATGACCCTAAGATGTCAGAAGCAGAGCGTCAGTCAAAGGAAAGTGAACAGGCAGACCGTAGCTTATTTGTTCAAGAGCTTCTACTGTCCACTTTGATGCAGGAAGAAAGTTCCTCCTCAGATGAGGATGAGCAGGGAGAATTTGCTGATTTTGGTGCTATGGGATGTGTAGATATTATGCCACTAGATGTTGCTTTAGAAAATCTAAATTTAAAAGAGAATAATAAAGGAAATGAGCCTCTTCCGCCTCCTCTTTGATGGCATCTCACTTTGCAGACAATGTCCTCTGTGCTGTATTTGCCAATGAAAGTGGACAACAACAACTATCTTGGGTTTGTTTTGGTGATTGTTATTTCAAGTCTGTCACTCTTGTTACGTTGTGTACATTCAAAAGAAAAGCGAAAAGATATATATGATAATCATTTCCACTTAACCAATTTTTACTATTAGCAGGTAAATATAGGTTGCAGTGCAGAGAGAAAAGCTCTGTGTCCTGTAGCTTGACATGCAAAAAGCTCTCCTAATACTCTGCATTCAAATGGAAGGGGGGAAAAATGAAAAATCTCTAATGAAGCTGCTGTGTGTATTTATGAATATTAATGAATAAAAATTGCTTGAATGGTTTACCTTAACTACTGCATGATGTTTTTTGCAACGTGCATGAGTTTTAGTGACCTTATAATTTAAAACAATTAAAACATACAAGGAGTAAAGATATAAAATCCCAACGCTTTCCCATTATTCAAAGATAACGTGACAGAAAAGATTAATGCTCACTAGCAGTTTGTGACCATGAAATAGCCTTTCAGTAACAAATGACCAATGACCTTTCTATATTCCCTCCCAGTGTATTAATGCAAACTCAGCAGTGGGCTGTGTTGTTATTTCCAGAGTGTGATGATTTGCTATATAGTAATCAATATGTTGCCCTGTTAGACATCATAACCATGTAGAATTCAATTTTATATACATATGTAGGAAACAAAAAAACAAGAGCCACTACTGGGAATCTACCACAAAGGGCTTCTGTGTGCCCTAAAACTAGATTTTGTTCACCATTATTTAAAGCTTCCTTTTTTGTGGTTAATTTCTTTTAACTGTTAAATATACTTTATTCAAGTGTAGATCATGCATATATTCACTGTTGTGGGGGAGAAGTTAACCTGGATTATGTTGTCTTAGTTCTAAGCTTTCACAGTCCTTATCATTATGAGTTATTTATGTATTTGCTTCCTAGTTTGCAGAGAATTCTCGGTATCAGGAGAGCTTGAGGATCTGATTTCCCAGATACTTCCATGTGTTATAATTGAATTCTTAATGCTAACTTCCTATCAGCCTTTATTTATTGGGGTTTTGGGTTATACTTCTGATATAAAAAAATAAAGCCTTTTTAATTGAGTCATGACACCTACTTGCCTATACTGTTAATCCTATATGTTTTTAAATAAGGTTTTTGTTTTTTCATGGATTATTATAATATCCCCAAAACAAGAGACAAGAAGGCTTTGGTTATTTGGAACATAAAATTAGATTATGAAGGCAAAAGTGCACACAACTTCTGATTAAGTTAGACTTGAAAATTATGTTGTTACTAATGATGTTCCAAAGAGAACCAATATGTTATACTAATCTAAGATAACACCAAAAACCCCACCCCCCACAGGTTGAAATTTCAGTTCCATTCTAATTTCCTAAGTTTTTAAATTCTTATTGTCTTCATTTAGTCTCTGCAATAGAAAAATTTTTAAGGTAACTTTTTACACTAATCTTCTGATTATCTCAGGAGTTGCCCACAGTAGGAACTTATGAGCTTGCTGAATTTCAAGAAGCATCTGGACAATCAGACATATAATCAGACATATAATCTGATTTTTGGGTGGTTCTGTCTAGAGTCAAGAGTTGGACTCCCTTCCAACTTGGGATATTCTATGATTCTATGATTGTTGAGGATTTAAATAAAAATCAAAACACAGACTATTCAGGCGCATCTTCTGCACATCAAAAAACAACAACAAACCCACAACAAAACAGTTCAATAAAACATTTTAAGGACTGTTGTTCTGTTGATGTTTTTATTATGATGTACTATCCAGATAGCTACAGAAGAAATTCTGGAATAAAACTCCTTCCCAGTGGAATGCAAAAGCTTTTCATGGATAAAGCCTTAGTGATTTACATAAACACTTCCTGTTAAAGTACATATTTTCTGCAGTACATGCAGCAATGATTAACTATGTAATATTACAGCTTCATAGTTACGTGCATTAAATTCCTAGAAAATACGTGTTTAAAATCTTCTCAATTAATATTGTTATTTAAAAATCTGTATATAGCTGGTCTATTGAGGATGTTTACATTGCAGAGTTTGTGAAATCCATTATGCTTCTACACAGCGTAGAATCACAGAACATAGAATAACCTGACTTGGAAGGAGCCCACAAGGATCACTGAGAACTACTCCTAGCTTCACAGAAGACTACCTAAAAATTAAACCATACGACAGAGCATTTTCCAAACATTCAGCCTAGTTCCATGACAATGGAGCAATGAAACCCTAGGGAAGGGAAAAGGTACAGAGAGGGGCCTAGATGAGGAAAACAGCAGCAACGAGCTAAGGGAAAAAATTTAGTAAATATAATAGCAGAATATGATTAGAACTGAAACTAAAAAATGAAATAAAATGAGAGACAGCGCACGTCCAAAACCGAAGTCCTTACTCTAATGCTGTAGGCGAGACAGACAAGGGAGCACAGAGAGAAAAGAGACAGTCTCATGACTCCAAGTCAGTTTTATCTTTCCCTCTGAATGGAATATGGAAACAGAACAGTGAAAAGTCCTCTGGGATATGTATCTCTTATTTTCTTCTGAGACCAGGTAACCGGAACTATCAATAATTCACAGAAATGCAGTATTAAATCTTTAACTGAGAGTACAATACATGATGTTATGATCTGGAATACTGGTCAAAAAGAAAAAAGCCATGACATTCCACCCCTCAATCAACATCACCACATCATACTTAATATAACATAGAATCAGATATACAAACAAAAAATAATTAACATGCATTATGCACATGCATACATACTTTCCACAGTTCAGCAGTCCAAATAGGTTTAACACTTTGTTGCCAGTTGTTTAGTTCACACTACTGTAACCACCCCCATAAGGCATTTGCCACCATCCATGAGTGCCATGGTTTTATAATTTTTGGTTATCAGTATTCCACATCATAACATCATGTAGTGCACTGGGAGTTAAAGAGTTAATGCTCCAGTTCCAGGCACCTGTCCAGATGAGAATAAGAGCTACATTCCCCAGAACACTTTGCATTCAAAGAGGAGATATAACCCCTGGCAAGGTCACCTGATGATCTTTTTTTCCTTCGGCTCTCCTCCCTGCTGCTCGATCTGACTGTGTGTCTCACCTCAGCTTTATGGTGAGGCCTTTCCACCTTTCAGACACTCTCTCTCATTGTATTTGATTGATTAGCTTCAACTCTAATTATATTGTATTATAGTGTGTTATCTTGCATTCCTATACCATATTTAGTAAATTAGTTTGTTTCTCCTCAGATTGTTGCCTCTGTATTTAATTATTCGGGGTCCCGTTTCCCTTTTCTGGAGGCGCGGATCTGCGTGTCCCTCCGCTCCACTAGTCATCAAACCAGGCCGAACCAGCCTGTAAACTGTTGACAATGAGTCAGTGTAAAGATAAAGCATTGGCCTCCTCTCCCATTCATCAACACCTAAGGGCATTTGGACAGCCATTATCTCTGCAAATTGTCTTGATTCTCCTTGTCTTCCAGTGGTCTCTGAAACTTGTCGTGTGGGGCTCCACACAGCAGCTTTCCATCTGCAATGCTTCCCCACAATACGACACGATCCATCAGTGAACAGGGCGTATTTCTTTTCAATTTCTGGTAATTCATTCACTCTTTAGCACACGATACCTCTTCTCCTGGTGATGTTCCAAACTTTTAACCTTCAGGCCAGTCCATGATAGCTTCTAAGATTCTTAGACGACTGAGGTTCCTCATCTGAGCTCGCTGTGTAATCAGTTGTCATGGTTTTATGATTTCTGTTATCAGTATTCCACATCATAATATAAAGAGATAATGCTCCAGTTCCATGGACTGCTGATTTTTTGGGTACCTGATTTTCAGAAGAGACGAAGAACTACATACCCCAGAGGACTTTGCATTTAGAAGGAAAAACTCCTCACAAGTCATGAGATTCTCTCTCTTTCTTGCTGCCCAGCAGCATGTGCTCCCCAGCCATTCAGTAAGGCTTTCAGTTTCAGACTCTCTCTCATTTTATTTGATCTATTAGCCTCAATTCCAATTATATTGTATTATATTGTGTTGTCTTGCATTCCAATATCATATTTAGTAAATTAACTTTACTCCTTAGATTGTTGCCCATCTCCCATCTCCCCACCCTTACACCTTTTCCCCTTTCCCCTTTCCCATGGCATGGGTCCATAGGTCACAGAACCGGGCCAAACTGGCCCATAAAACATCAACACCCCCCCTCCCCTTGTTTGGGCTGGTGGGCCTGTGGTCCTTCTGCCCACCTGTCATGGACACGGATAGATCTAGAGATAACTCCGCGACACTCCATGACAGTTATTGGTGGAGAAAGCGGGCCATCTAAAATGAATCTGAATCTTTTAATGTTAGCAGAAAAATAAGTGATTTCTTAAAGTCAGAGGGTTGCAGAGCGCTGTAGCTAGCTTTGACCTTCATAGATTAGATTGTAGGCCGGGTAGTCTGCCAGACTCTGGACACTCTACTGAGTTTGTTTTGTTTTGTTTTCCTTTTACCAACTGCCAGCTATGAATCTGTTCTTCATTTTAGGAGTGCCATATAAAGGATTAAAGGCCATTTTGTTTTTTGGAACATATTGGTTTCTTATTAAGTTCATCATTTTCTGTTGTGGAGTTGCATACACATATAACCAATTAAAGGCACTGATGGAGACACCTGCCTGGTACCTATATGCAATGTTGTATGATTTGAATATAGACAATTACATCCCAGAGGGAGTAGATAATTTTACAAACAACATGATGTTTTGACCGGTTTCCAGGTTCTCTTCTTGGTTCCTTATGCATTTTTGAATGCCGGATTAATGGTCATGTTATCAATTCCCCTGAATGTATTCCTCTTCATCCTTGTCATTTACTTTGTTTAGAAGTCGCCTTCTCCAAAACCAGAGACTGCTGACTGGCAGAGAATATGGAGAGGTTTAGGAAAAATCTTAGAAGCGTTGGGACCCCCGGTGTCATGGGATTTCACTCCTGAACACCTGTGGGATCCCGAGAAACTAAGCAAGTATTTCAGTCAGGGATGGTGCGGCTTAGGGAGATCTAAGGAGGTACGACTTACTTGGGGTTTGGCTCATGCTTACCACACTCTATACAATACTGTTTTGGAGAGAGAGAGTTTCTTAACTGAGATTCGAGACAAAGGGGGAAGTCTTCAAGTCAAACCTGATCAATCATAAAAGGCACCAGTATCGATGTCAGTTGCTCCTGTGGAAGGACAGAAGGCCAGGCAAGTCCTGGTGAAAGTTGGACAATTCTTTTGTCTGAAGATTTGCAGGCCAGGGGTATGAGAGAGAGAGATAAG